AAGTGGGCATTTTAGTGCTAAAGAATGTATTTGGGCTAAATAAAACAAGATATTGTTAGTATAAGATACTCTTATCTAAAGAGCAACAGAGAGTCCTGTGGCACCTTTAAGACTAACAGATGTATTGGAGCTTAAGCTTTCGTGGGTGAATGCCCACTTCGAAGTGGGCATGCACCCACGAAAGCTTATGCTCCAATACATCTGTTAGTCTTAAAGGTGCCACAGGACTCTCTGTTGCTTTTTACAGATCCAGACTAACCCGGCTACCCCTCTGATTCTTATCTAAAGAGTACTATATTACTGAAAAATATCTGTACTACTATTCAACAGCTAGTGGTCACAATTAAGTATATATGTACCATTACATACAGAGCTCAAGGCATCAAAATACTTGGATTCTACAAGATAAAGTATTTTCTAACATCTGTTCTAATAAAGAGATAGATCATTAAAAGTAGCATTAACAAATTCACCTTTTTTCTAGCACTTTCTCTTCTCAGGGCGTTCTTCTTTAGAATTGCTTCTTGAGCATCCTTTTTCTGGAGAATTAGAAAACAGAATCTTAAAGCTTACATTATTATTATCATCTATGGGATACATGTCTTTGGAGTAAAATACATCTCAGTACTAAAAGAACACTAAAGGCCAATGCGCCAATTTGTCAAGCTGTCACTGTGCACAAGAGCATACCTCAAAAGACCCCAAAATCAGTTAATTGCTTTGGCACATTGCTTTGACAGTAGGGGGGCTTTTCTGTAGTAGTGATAGGTTTTTGTTTTGACTGTCAGTATTGGTTTCTCTAATATAATGAGGCAGCATCTGGATGTTGAATTTGATATGCAGCTCCTGCACCTGGTCTGTCAATCTCACATTTTTTCCCTTGGTACCTAATCTATGTCTCAGCTGGTCTTGATCTGCAATATAAGGACATTGGAGAATAGAAAGTTAGAATTTCCATAATTCAAGACTCTCTCAAGGTCTGGTCCAAAGACAGGCCTAGTATCAGTGCTTTATACTTCCATCTAGGAAATCCAAATTCTCCTCTTCCTCACAGTCAAGATGATAGGAGATCTGCAAAAAAACTGATCATCCTTGGGAAATAAAAATATCTTACATGACTCTACAGCAATCTCTCTGACCAGTTGAAAGGTACAATGCCCCTGGTCCCTAAAGTTCCATCTAGTAGAAGAATTTAGGATTAAATTTTAATTATTATTTTTTTCCTGAAATCCCCTTAGATTTTTTCTCTCTATCCTCTGTAAATGAAGAGGATAGCATATCACTTAAAAAAAATTACTGCAGCCAAGTTCTTTATTGCATGTCACTTCAGAGCAATACAAGGCCCATAATATACCCTGCAGACTCAGCATTACCTTTCCTAATGCTCACTTTTACAAACCTGTAAAGAATCCAAGCTCTAATCTGGGTTCTACCATTCTGCAGCCTTAAAATAGTTATACACAGCACAAGGATACCACAAAGAGAGCCTTCTTATGTTACCTTAAGGGTCGGATACTCAAGTGGTAACAGCCAGAGGTCTTCTGCTGCCACCACTCCTTGTACCATATACTGCTGGCAAAGACAGCACAGCAATGAAAATAAGCAGAGAAGGAAACTGAGCGATGTATCCAATAGGATCCGCTGACATTTATCATTTTTGTTTATATCCTACAGTTTTTAGACAGACACTTGAAACCATCAGTACTGCACAAAGCCAACCTATGAAACCACACATTATCGGGTATGAGGCATTAGCCTCCATTCCCCATTACCTCCATATGTTACATCCACTTGTTGCATTTTAAGTCCTATTGTAAATTCTTTGTGATGGGCTATGTCTCTCTCTGTTTGTACTGCACCTACATAATGGGGCATGATCCTGATAATAAGAAGGAGAAGAAAGAGGCAGAATATGGGGAAGAAAGCAGGGATTAAATTGTTGAGGAGAGGAAGCCAATGGGAACACATAACAGAACCAACTAGGAGAGGGAAGAGAAAGCAGGGCAAGGAAGAAAAGCAATCAACGTAAGGAAAGTAAGATAACCAGGGAGAGGCAACCATCAAGGAGTCAAGAAGTGAGAGGCAACTATTGGGGAGAAGACAGAAGCAACAAACAGTGGGCAATAAATATCAAACAGAATGGGAGAAAAAGGACAAAAAGGAAAAAAAATTAACTAGATTAGTAGCCAGTTACTGGCATGGCTAGCTCAAACATGATTTGTGTTCACACATCACATGGTTAAAAGTCTATTAATAAACAATAATAGCATTTCACCTTTACCAGAGGCTCATCCAACAGCCAGTTCAGCACTGCATGTTTGTGTGTGTGCATACAGTATGGATATGACCCCCTAACCGTACTTGTTTGGTCAGTCCTTCTTTCTCCCAACTCCTTATTGCAAAGGGCATCCCATAGCATATTGGATCATATGATGTTGATGTTTCCTTTTATGCACATCTCGTGGGCACCATATCCCCTGATGAAACACTATGGAATAAATTGCCCAGATTTTCTCAGAATGTTCTGTATAAACATGGTTAGATACCACATAGGAGCAGATTCGCAAACATGGTTGTGAAAGGAGAAAATCTGCTGTGTGAACAGACTGAATTGCTTGTTATTGGTTAAGCTGATCAAGCCTCTAACTAAATTATTTTTGATAGCCTCCGGACATTATTGGTTCTTTACATCGAAGACTTCCTTTGTTAGCAGCTAAAAATCTCAACTCTAAACTACAGAGCTTTACTATTTAATGACTTCCCACTCCTGTTGTTACTGGTTCTCAACACAACGTCTTGTACATATTCCCCTCTTCCCCCACAAAAAAATAATAGGACTCTGTGCAAAACAGAAAATCCACAGATCCTCTGGGTTTTCTATACACAGATTTCTATTATTGATTATTATGATTAAATCAGTAGTTAGCTTATACCAGCATGAATTAAGAATGCTGAATCTAGTCATCTGTATTTTGTCTGGAAAGGAATATAAAACATTTACTTTTCAACTAACACAACTTCCCTTAGTTGTTTTATCTGATGACATTTCTTCTTCTTTTTGAACAGGGTCCATTTATTCTGAAGTGTTTAAACAAACAAGATAGTAAGTAAACTGAAAAACACAAACTGTCATATCAGTGTTTGATACTAATACTATCAACTATCAGACAATTACAAGTTTCATTGCCCAAAATAAAAATATTTAACTTCTCTTCAATCCAGTGGGTCCAGGAAAGCAATGTTTATACAGCTATTTAAAATCGGTTTAATTATATAACATGAAGGAATAAGATGAAACCAAGAGAAAACATTTTAATTTCTTAAAAATGCAGAGACAGAAATACAGAGAGAAAAAAACCGACTATATTTCCAATGATTAAATTTTTTTTTAAAGAATGTTCATCGACAGACATGATGCACCAAATTCTTACATATTTTAAAGTTAGCTATCCTCTACTTTAAAATCACAGTGCATTGTATTTCATGTTTTTCTAGTGCTAGACACCACAATAAATTCAGATAAAGTTCTGGTTACATAATTTTGTAGCAAGCATTTTATTGAAATAATATAGAGTACTTCTATTTTGATATTTAACATTCGTATTATATCCTACTATAATATATAAATTAACAACTAAAATCTATGTCTAAAGCCTGAGTTAAAATACAGTAACTCCTCGCTTAACGTTGTAGTTATGTTCCTGAAAAATGTGACTTTAAGCGAAACGATGTTATGCAAATTCAACTTCCCCATAAAAATTAATGTAAATGGGGGGGGTAAGGTTCCAGGGAAATTTTTTTCACCAGACAAAAAACTATATATTATATAGATATACACACAGTATACATTTTAAACAAACAATTTAATATTGTTCACAGCTATGATGATTGTGAAGCTTGGTTGAGGTGGTGAAGTTAGAGGGTGGAAGAGGGAGAGATATTTCCCAGGGAATGCCTTGCTGCTAAATGATGAACTAGCACTCGGCTGAGCCCTCAAAGGTTAACACGTTGTTAATGTAGCCTCTCACACAAGGCAGCACGAACATGAGAGAGGGGAGACAGCATAGCAGAGAGAGACAGACACACACCTTGTGTGTGGGAGAGAGATACACACTGCCCCTTTAAGTGAGCTGACCCACTCTTAAGTGCATTGTCTTTTTAAGTGGATCAGGAAGTTGAGACAGCAGCTGCTGCCCCAAGCCGTCTCTGTCTCTCTCCAGCCGTGTCCCCTCCCTGCTCTATATGGAGAAGGTGTAAGCAAGGTGCAGGAGCAGAGGGGAGGGGGACACCCTGACATTAGCCCCCCCCCTCCTTTTCACCCTGCAGAGCAAGCAGGAATCTCTGGGAGCAGCTCCAAGGCAGAGGCAGGAGCAGCACATGGCAGTGGGGGGAGGGACGGCTGAACTGCCCAGCAATTGATAGCCTCATGGGCAGCTGCAGCACAGGGAACTTAGGGGAGCGGAGAGCTGATAAGGGAGAGCTGATAGGGGGCTGCCGGTCCATCCTTGTTACAAGCCCCCACCAGCTAGCTGCAATGGGCTGCTCTTCCTGCAAACAGTAGACAAAGCAGGTGGCTGCCAAACGACTAGAAAGGAGCACTGCACAACTTTAAACGAGCATGTTCCCTAATTGATCAGCAATGTAACAATGAAACAACTTTAACCGGGATGACTTTAAGTGAGGAGTTACTGTAGTCAACAGTGAACAATATGGAATAACAATCTGATTGTTGTGCAGATGGCCATATTTCCACATCAGTCAACAAGGCTGCATATCCAGAATTTCATCACTGTGTGGATTTTGCAACAACTGGTTTACATGGCCTGTGATATACAGGTCGCTATACAGGAGGTCAGACTAGATGATCTAGTAGTCTCTTCTAGTCTTAAACTCTATGACATGAGTTTCCAAATGATCAGGTTACTAACCTGAAAATTATAACAAATTAACATGCCAGAATATGTGCTAAACCAAATGGATACAAAACTTTAGGACCCCCGCTCCCCCTCCACACTTCCCAACAGTCATGTTTGGCAACTTGCCAAGAGTCTGAGAGATGTATCTAATTTGCATAGCTATTTACATAAGTATAAAACATACATATATCACTACTTGTGCTCTCATCTTCATTGACAGATCAAAAGAAACCAAGATCTAAGAATATGGCTTGTTAAGTCCTATTTATACCACAAAATGGAGCTGCATAATAACTGGATCCCCTAATATGGCTGTAATGGTAATGTAGTGTTTTAGACATGAGACCCATATATGGTTTTATTATTTTATACAGTATCGAACAATTTCTCTCTTTCAACAGCATAAAAATGCATTTTATCATTTAAATAAAGTTATTTAGTTCACTTCTGAATTAATATAATATAAATAATCTTACATGTCCCATCCAGAGTCTATTGTTATAGTTTTTGATAACTTTTTTATTTTTCCCATTCTTCTTATCATTGTTATTTCTCCACTTTCTTGTTGTTTTAACTGCATCTATCCTATATAAATAAACCCTCTCTCCTTCCCAAGGACCCAATCAACCAAAATAAGCTTAGAACTTAATCTTTTAATTTCTAATTAATTTCTCTTAGACTACAGTGAGACACACTGGGGAGAACAGCAACTTCTATTACGTAGAATTTGCAATCAAAATGTATACTATGGAAAAATAGATTTTTCAGAAGCAAAATTATTACACTAGTCAAAGAATGGGAAACTATCTGAATGGTATGTTTTGACATTTATTTTACCCTATCACGACTTTTTTGTTTTGTTTTTTCTGCCAGAAGTTGGGAGTGGACGAAAGGAGATGATCACTTGATGATTGCCTGTTCTGTTCATTCCTTCTGAAGCACCTAACATTGGCCACTGCCGGAAGACAGGACACTGGGCTAGATGGACCATTGGTCTGACCCAGTATGGCCATTCTTATGTTCTTTCTTCTACACCAAACACTTGCACATATGCCATTCGAGACATATAACCATAATCTGGAAATTGGGTTGGTGTACAAAAGTCAACAAAACTGAGCTCTGAGACCAGGAGAAGCAGAAATCTATATATTTTTAGTTCACCAGACAACATGATCAGGAAGCAAGAGTTCCAGGTACTTCTACTACTACTATATTGTTGGTTCAATCCTCTCCCAACTGGGTGTTACTACAATAAGGCCTTGGCTACACATGAGAATTCACAGCGCTGCCGTGGCAGCGCTGTGAAGCGTGAGTGTAGTCACGCCGCCAGCGCTGCGAGAGCTCTCTCGCAGCGCTGCGAGAGCTCTCTCGCAGCGCTGCAAGTACTCCACCTCTCCGAGGGGAATAGTTTGCAGCGCTGCGAGAGAGCGTGCAGCGCTGCAGGCGCTGATTACACTGGTCCTTTACAGCGCTGCACTCGCTGCGCTCGGGGGGGGGGGCGTTTTCACACCCCTGAGCGCAGCAAGTTGCAGCGCTGTACAGCGCCAGTGTAGCCAAGGCCTAAGAGTCAAATATCATTAGCTAAGTGCAGCTATGCACACCCCTTACTTCAATACACATCCAGATCCTGCAGAATGGAAACAAAGAAAG